ATATATTTAGGTTTAAATTTTTCTGTTAAAACTTATGGGAATCTGGGAGCCTTGATTGGTACGATGATATTTCTACTGTGCAGAGACATCTCTCATATTTATAATAATATGGCCCTTCTCTTGCCTACCTCTGAAGATGCATAGAACATGAGACACTGCAAACTGCAGCACAATGTTGTCATCACCATTTCCCTTGGACTTAGATGTAGAAAATTCCAATCTCTTTTTCTTTTTTTTTAACCATGAAATTACGTCTATGCTCTTGCTGTCTTTATACTTTTGTTCATTGTACTTTAATTTATACTTGTATGTATATTAAATGTAATATTTAAGAAAATAATACATGCACTATTACATTAGGTAAGAAAAAGAATAGAAATTTAGACTGTGTAAATATTCCAAGTAATTTTTTTAAAAATCAATTTTCCCTTTAAAACATTGCCACTCCTAATAGCAGGGTAGAATACAAGTGTCTGGCTTAGGGAAAACACAATGGTCCATCTGTTAAAGTATCTTATGAAATCCATCTTTAATTCACTCAGATTTTATTGTGGGTTGTGCGTTTTTACATTTTTTCTCTCACAGTCAAGAATCAGATTTCAGACTTGACTTTTCCTTACTTCACAAGGCTAGGTTTGATTCACATCCATTGCCAAATGCCAGGCAGCTATACAGAAGTTAGAAAAGTTGGGCTAGTTGCTGGTGCACACTGATTGGCTTTTCAGAATGTTTCCTTGGCAAATGCTTAGTCCTGGGTAAAGCATTAATTCCATCACTACCCCCCATTTCTGTATTTTACTCTTAATATCAAAATAAAAATCTTAAAAAGTACTACACATGAATCACACACACTGATATACACACACATACACACACACACACACAAAAAAAAAAAAAAAAACCTTGAAGCATGATTTCCTAATTGAATAAGCTAAATGTATGGATTGTTTACAATTAAAATTCAGAGGAAAACTTAGTTATCTGCAACTGATTAGGAACAGGTACACAGCACACAATATATATGAGGAAATGCCCAGGAAAACATTTCCTCATGGTAGCTAAAATGTAAAATGAAATTATTTTATTTCTAATTCAATATTTATTTGAAAAACCATGTATATTATTTTCCTCCAGATTTCCTCTGTGACTAAACTTGTAAAAACTATGCTCTTAATTGATTAGTTTTATTCTACACTGGATAATTCTTAGACCTAAGTTTTTTCATAATGTCTTTTCTAGGAACTTCTCAATCTCAGAGGGAGTAAAAACCCAGAACATATATTTTAAAGTGGCTTTATATACTAAAGTGGCTTTATATACTTAGATAACTAAATAGTCCTGTGATAACAATAAAAATAATGTTTCATCATTTGCATGAACCTTGAAATGTGACCCTGCCATCTGGCCCCAAGAGTCTCTGCTCTCTACTTCTCCCAAAATCCATGCTTGGTCTTGGTTTTGTCTCTACTAATTTGGTCATGCACTGAGATGCCCTGAAACCTGAAATCCTTAGACGTGAAATATCAACTATAATACCTTCCCAAGATGATTACAGAGCCAGTCCCTTGTGGACTAAAAATGGTCCAAAAAAAAAGGAACAGATTTTATGGGCTTTCAGACCCTACCTTCATCATGAGACTTCATCCAATTATATTACTGATGATATCTCTGACACCCCTGCTAACTAAAAATTGACTCCAAAAGCAATTTTCTCATCAGTTTCACATCAGGTCCTTGGGAAGGAAATGATTCCTGTCCCACTGAGTTCTATAATACTACCTGCTCCAACACATACAAAGGCAACCCTACACACACCCACACCCACACACAGAGACACACTCACACACACAGCCATGTACACACAGGCATTCCCACACACCCACACACACATCAACACACACACAATGCTTTCTCAAAGTAAGAAGGCAAACCCTTCGATCCTGCCTGTTCTACTCTGGAAATAAATAAAGGGTCCTATGTTAGGTAGGCTTAGCTAAGAATGTTCTTTCCCTGTGCACATAGAAGCTTTTTTCTTGTTTCTTTTTTCCTTTTCCTGCAAGATGCACATTCACTTTCAGGATTTCTAAGTCTGATGAGTTTTTAAGTAATATTCTCTGTAGCAAACAATTCCCAAACCATTCCCCCAACAATTTTATGGCAAAGTGTCCCACCTCTCTTTGCAATCTCTATTCTTTGATCACCCCACATGCATCACCATGATAAAGTCCTGAAATGTTAGGAAGAGAAGCAGTCACTCTGGTCATCATATAAATCAGTAGTGGCAGATAAGAGAAGAAACCTGCCCCACCACACTCATTCCCACGGGGACTCCTCCACCTGGATCTCTGTGTAAACACCTTATATTTTATTATTTATACATCACCCCAACAATAAAAAGTAAGAATAGGCAATGGGCCCAAGAAATATAGAAAATAAAACACAAGAAAAGGAAATTATTGACATCCAGGAACTTGGACTTCATTAATCTCCCCACACCCATAAGAGGGTCAAATTATTTAGCCCTATTTTACAAAATGATCCAAGATCACATTAATACCAGAACTAAAGATAGAATCAATATGCGAAAACACCAGATGTGCTTCCTTCATATAATGCCACCTTGTACATTTAAGGAACTTTTCCATACATGGAACAGGAGAGCATTGGCCTGAGGATGGGCCTAGAATCTTCTCTCTATAATGGCTCCTGGCATTTAATTAACTTCTACTTTGTGCTAGATTCTTTTTTATGCTATTCTATTGGTGCCTTATGAGTATACGTTATACGATAGTGGGATTCATTATGTCATATTCATATGTGCACCCCTTTATTGATTGGTTTGTTTGTTTTGGATGACTCACCTCCGACTCCGAGCCAAGCACTGAAGTAGATCTAATTCCCCCTAAATTAAAAATGAGGAAACCAAGGTCGTTAAGTGACGTTAAGTGACTCACCTCCAATCGAACATGCTGTGAATGGCAAGGCCATGTCCCAAAGGGAAGTCTGACTCCAAAGCTCAGCCTCCTTCCCTCACGGGAACCTGTCCATGTGGTCATCATATACAGCAGCACATACTTTCTCTCACAATTATTTAGGCAGTCAGATGAGATTGATTTTCACATAACTGAAGACATATACATTAGGAGAAGACACAGTGAGAAGCAGGTAGAAGGGAAGAAGGATCAGACTTGTGAAAGGCTTGAATTCTGTGAACACATTGACTCTTTCCTGAGACTGACATATGGAGGAAATGCAGACTTGAGTTCTCTTCTTATCAGACTCTAGAAACTGTGCCAAGCCTTTGCAGGAACAGCCTCACAGTAGCAGAGCTGGTGGGTGTTCTGCTCCTCAGCTTGTCTTTTACAGAATGAGGAAACAAAACGTAATAGCCACATACCCTAAAGAAATCCACATACCCATTCTTGAAAGCACAGGGTAAATTGAAACACACCCAAAATGGCACTCTATGGTATGAAGGAGGAGAGGGTTAGATGCAAAGACAGAGACTGGCACCTTTTCTCAGTTCACTGTCCTTTGAGAGTCCTGTCTTCACAAAGGTCTGAGGCATTGTTGATGCATCTGAGAGAGGGGAAACCTAGTTCATGGGTATCCACCGCCTTACAAGTGATTGAGTTGCCTGGCTGCTTTAAAAATGATCACAAACTTGGTAGCTTGAAACGACAGAAATTCTCACAGTTCTGGTGACCTGAGATCTGAAACCAAGATGTTGGCAGGGTGAGGGGTCCTTCCTGAGAATCTAGGAGAGAATCCACTCCATGCCTCTCTCCTGGCTTGCAGAAATGCTAGGCATTCCTTTGCTTGAGGAGGCAGCACATCAACCTCAGCCTTCACCTTTGCATGATCTTTCCCTTTGTGTGTGTCTGTGTCTCAAATCCTTCCTTTCTCTTGAAAGGACACTAGTTCCTTTCAAGGTCCTACCCCACATCCGGGGTGATCTCAGCTGAAGATCCTAGCTTCATTGCATCTGCAAAGACCCTATTTCCGAACCAGGCCACATTCACAGGTACTAGGGGCTAGGATTTGAATGTATTTTTGGAGGACACAATTCAACCCACTCCTGGAATGTTAGAAAAGGCTGTACTTGCTAATTCGGGTCACTTACGTGAGGAAGCTCAAAATAGACATAACCTTAATGTTTCCACGATATTCAGATCAAAGTGGCACAAGGGTAGGAATTAAACACAGTTATGGAACTTCCACACTCCAAGTTAAGAGAACACCACCTGCCCACTCCCACTGAGCTACTCATCTCACTTTCGGAGTCAGAAATATTTCTACGTGTGACCTGATATAATATAAAATATCACTGAGAACAGTTTTTTTTCACCTAGTGAATTTTTCTCGTTTGGCCTGAGCCAACAAACATTCATAAGAAACAACTTACATGTGCATGCCCCCGGAGATACAGCTGTGGGATTCTCGTGTGTTTATTCGAGATAGATAAGGTAACACCATAGAAGAAACACGTGTCCTTGTTGGGCTAAAGCCTATCAGGATGCAATGTTACACATAAACAGAAATCAAAACAGGTGCCTTTCTGTGAAATCATGACAACAAGAATATCCAAGCTAAGTCCCTTCCGGGTGGCTTTATAAATACTAGAATATTCACATGGTACTGTATTGCTTGTCCAAGCAGTCTCCTGATTTTATCCAAATAAATTTATGCTGGTTTCAGATTTTATTATAGATATTTTGTAGCCTGCTGGAAATGAATGCTGTTACACAAAATAAAACCAGATGAAGTAGAGCTAAATTCTGCAAGGGCCAGGGCAGGTATTGATAAGGAGTATAACTTCCGCCTGGGAAAGTATGTATAAGAAAGAAAGAAAAAGTCTTGTAGAAGTCGCAGAGCCTATGTTCCAGAATGGATGTGCGAGAGGCAGAATGGGGAGTGAGACAAGACCTGAAGCCTTGACATTTCAATACGTTGTTTTAATAAAGATATCATCTGATATTTTTCATGTGTTTACCGCTGACCTGCTCTGAAGAAGAACTTCCAAGCAGAACAATGTCTTCCCGAGCACGTCTTTCAAACTCTTTGACGTAAGCAGGGGTAGTTTCATCGGCCTCTTTGTGGAGTCCATGACTCTTACGGGAACCCGTGGGTGCCTCAGAATCCCATGTGTCCTCATGGTTGCTCTCATCTGTTCACCCAAGAAGATGATGTGGAATGTCACCTGCCTGCATCACTTGAATGTTGACCAAGCACACAGTCTGCCACCTGCTTTACTTCTTGTCTGGAGTAATTTTTTTTTTTCTTTTGATACCAGGTATGGAACCCAGGGGTGCTTAACCACTGAGCCACATCCCCATCCCTTTTTAATATTTTATTTAGAAACAGGGTCTCTCTGAGTTGCTGAAGGCCTCGCTAAGTTGCTAAGGCTGGCTTTGAACTTGCAATCCTCCTGCCTCAGCTTCCCAAGCCGCTGGGATTACAGGCGTGAGCCACCATGCCCAACTGGAGAAACTTTGATTTTTTTTTAACAAGCTATAACTTGGCAAATTATTTTCTATTTAATGTATTAAGAAAAAACATTAAATACCAGATGTTTTTAAGATTAAAAAAAAACAGCAAACTTCGTTCATCTCATGATGTTTACAAACTATATCTGTGCATTAAAGCCTTTTTCCTACTTACCAGATAAATCCTGCAGGGTGCATACTGTGCTTTACTGTGCATTAATATTACATGTTGTTTACTTCAACATCTTACCACTTATTTGCTGGGATGCTGAAACCAGTTTGGGAGATGAATAGGTTTAGGAGAAGCCAAAGCTCTCTGAATCATTTCCTTAAGTTAAGATCTGCCCCCCAAATGGCTCCTGAGCTCTGCACACATAGGGCAACTTCATTTGGTCCACCTTGTTTATGTGCATGGAAATGCCAGCAGTTATAAAATGCTATGTGTGCTTTACCTATCACCTGAGAACAATATCACCTACGAAGGTATTATTCACTTAGCCACATACCTCCTGAATATAAAATATCTTTCAGTCTCTAAAAAATGCTTAAAGGTGTACTATGAAAGTTTCCAAGTCTCTGAGACTAGAATTTAATAAAAAGCAGTGGAAGGGAGCTTCTCTAATAGGAGGGAGAGAGGCTGGGTACAGGCCAGACCCTGGGCAACAGTTTTAGAGGATGGCTGGTGGCCTTCAGTGCCCACTGAGACACTGTTTTGCCTTGTTATGTCTTTAAGCTTTCTAAGATCAGGTAAATTCTCTTACAGTTGATCAAATGCCTGACTATCCTGTCAATTCTATAAGACTTCTGTATATCCCTAAATGGTTTTTAGAAGACTTATCATTACAATTTATAAATACATGACTTGGGTGGTTTCAAAGGATCCAAGCAGAAAGAGCTGTCAGTATGGAAAGGAAAAACTAGGCATAAAAGTTCCCAACTGAATGCCCAGCACAATAAGGCAATCCACATACATCTGCTGACTCAGAAAGGACACTAACCATAAGAGCACTGGCTTCTGAAGAACTATTTGTGATGCTTTAAGTTCCAGCTTGACCAGGCTACCATGTCCGGTTGTTTGGTAGACGCCAGATCACATGCGAGCATGAAGACATATTTTAGATGTGATCAATATTTAAACCAGTAGACTCTGAATAAAGCAGATTGCTTTTCACAATATGTGTGAGCCTCAGTCAGTCAGTTGAAGGTCTAAAATTAAAGACTGAGGCTTCCTAAAGAAGCAGGAATTTGGTCTCCAGACCACAGTGTGGAAACCCTGCTTGAGTTTCCAATCTGCTGGGCTGCCTTGCAGATTTTGGTCTAAAGATAGCAGTATCAACTCTTCCCTGATGCTCCAGGTTGCTAGTCTTCCCTAAGACTTAGAGACTTGCCAGCCCCCACCGTGTGTGAATCAATTTTTAAAAACAACCCCACCCCCCCCCCCCCCCCCCCAATTCTACTTTATCTGCTTCTCTAGAAGATCTTATATGCCATTTGAATTTGGAATCCCTCAAAATATATACATAGCTGGCTTAAAAATTGAGTTCGCTCCATTTATTCATGTGGAAAGAAATAAGACAAGCTACACAAATTTGTACCAGAGAAGGGAAGGTATACCCAGGCAGGAATCAAATTCAGGGAGGTTAGTATTCTATAAATAGGGATTGATCTATAGAGTTGTTATGAGGTTTAAATAAGTTATTATTTACTGTATTTCGAACAGTGTTTAAGATAGTGCCAGGCACTTAGAAAGCACTCAAATATTTAACTAATATTGATATTTTCTTCATCATCATTAACAGCAACTTCATTATTCTAGGTATGTGGTTTTTATATCTGCTCAGATATTAATTAATATTTTAATCTTCACAGCTACTCCATGTGGCAGGGATTATATGCCCATTTGGCAGAAAAGGAAAAGAAAGCTTAATAAATTGATTCAAGGTCACACAGCTAGTAAATGGTGAATCCCAAGCATAAACTCAACAGAGTTAAGCACCTATAACTATTATAGCATTAATTACTACCAGCCCCTTCTCTTATGGGCTTTAAGAAGTTTTTCAATGAGGAAGAACAAATGATTCCTGAGAACTAAGCACACACTGTGAAAAAAATAGAAGGATTCTCCATGAATTCAACCCCATGCATAGAGGGCAACTTTCATTTAATGCTTTGTTTAAAAACTTACATTATGGAATCTGACACAAATTATATGTGTTAAAATAAGGACTTAAAACTTAGTTTTTAAAGAATGACTTTTATATTTCTAGTTGAATACATATAGTAATCATGAAGAACCTAACATTTAGAAATATGAATTCCCCTCTAAGGTTGGGAACAATACACTATTTACCTCCCTTCACTCCATAGCACCTGTTTAAAAGCAAAGACAGAGTCTTTCCAAAGAACATCACATAGCTTCATAAATTAGTGACTCCAAATATGCACATTCCCTTATAGGATCCTGCAATAGTAAGTCTTAAATCATTTTTGCCATTTGGGCTTACAAATTGCATGCAATTGTAGGAAATTGCATCATAATTAATTTTCCCCAAAACTTTAACTACATTTGAATATTTGTAACCATCAAAAGCACAGACAGATCATCACTGAACTGTTAAATATAGAAAAGACAGGTTAGCATTTGTAAGGAACCATGTCAATCAATTTACGACTAATATTAATATAAAAGATTAAAAATAATTGGTCTCTTACCTTGGAATTCTCTTTGTCCACTGTCATCAAACAGTTCCATTAATCGATTATAGAGAGTTCTCTCATCACCTTGTAGGGGTGTTAAAAGAACATAGATGTGATAACTTTCTCATCAGCTAATTTATAGATATGCAGATGTAATTACAAAAATAAATTATTAATCATCATGGCTATTTAGTTACTCCATGGGTCATAGATTCAAATTCTACTCAATATGCTCCCTTGTTCTGAAAAAGAATCTTTTGTAAATTGATGGTAATTGGAACAATGATTTTTAAATGTATATTGCCAAGCGTGTATAATAGAATACTTCTCCAATAAAATGAACCTCATATTCAATGGATTATGACATCTATTACTCAAGAATCATTTCTGAACAAGTCATTATGGTTTGTCAAATCATACAATAGAATATCTAAGTGTTTGATCAAAGTGAATGTATGTTTTTCATTAGCCATTCTCTATACAGTATACATTTTACTATGTATTTGTAAGAAACAACAAACTTTGGTGGTCTTGTATTCATTTATATATGTAATTGTCTTGCAATAGCATATAAAAAAAGAATCCAGGATACTTAGTTCTTTTATGAATTTAAAGCAACAAGCCATGATAGTACCTACCCCCTGCAAACAATAATAAAACAAAAACCTCATTATAAAATCATAGATCCAGAAGAAGATTTTAAAGGTTGTTGAAAGCTAGAGGTATAGCTCAATAGAGAACTTGCCTTGCATGCTCGAGGTCCTGAGTTCAATCTCTAGCACAGGAAAAAAAAAGTCATATAGATATTATTTTAGACCTCTAGATACAACCAAACAAAGAATGTGAGTTGCATAACCATCCCAGTCTCAGAATTAGAACACCAATACGTACATCAATCACCAAACATGTTTCCCTTCCCAGGTAAGCAACTGAACTGTGCTTGCACTTTCATTATGCTCCTTTAAATATGGCTTGTGAATTTCTCTTATCTGTCACGTGTAGGCCAATACTGAAGATGGTAGTTAATTCTGCAACTTACATCTAAAACTTGGTCAAGTATTCTAGAAGCACCCTCTGGGATCCACTCTAGTCTATGCTCAGAGACTGGGACACAAGACTGGAAGGCTGAGGCTGCTACTGGGACAGCAGTGTGACACTGTGTGAAAGTGTGACATAAGAACACCTCTGAAGTCAGCAGCTTCTGCTCACTGTCCACTCTAGATGGCCTTTTCAAGTGCTCATTGATCTATACATCATCCTCTCTTGCCAAGAGCCATTAGAGACCTCCTACCACCTCCAGCACTGGGGGAAAGGGAGAGGGGCCATCCTGGATTACATTGTGCAGTAGGAAAGCTGCTTCTATTCCAGCATCACCTGAGCCTTTGTAACTCTTAATGGGATACAGAACTTACAAAGTTTATGTATTGCTCATAAAAAGGTTCTCATTCTGAAGTTAACAAGGAGCAACCTCAGAAGTAAAGAGGAGGAACTCTCTGCAGAAATGATAAAAATCCCAGTGGGATTAACCGAGAGACTCCATCTTCACAAGCATCGTTTGGTAAAGGTCAAACCTGCATCCAGATCTCTGCACCACCATGTAGCTCTATAAACCTAGGAAAGTTTGTTAGAGTCTCTCAGCTTTAATCTTGCCCCATGCAATGGGATGGTTGTGAAGGTTACCAAGATAACATGCATGACACCCAGGCCTGACAAATGATAGACATTCCACAAGGGGCAGCACCTCCATTGATTTGCTCATTTATTTGCTTGTTTGTTGTCAACTACTTAGTAATCGTACAAGTGCAGAATTTTTCAATAGTTCGGCTTCTGTCGTCCTGAACCAATATTTTTGTCTTCATGAACTGATAAGTGATAAACAACTTTTGGGGGACCCAAATAAGTGGAACAGAACCCACAATTGCTGTCAAGTTTCTGGTTTTCCAAGTAGCCCAGCTGGGTAGCAGCCCCCTATGAATGGTGCCCCAATGACACTCATTCCTAGAGCATCATAGGGGTTATCTATCAGTAAAAGCAAGACAATGACACCTTAAAATTCAGATTCACCAGTTCTGATTGACCTTCTCCCCCTCCTTCAAAAATTGAGCACATCTCCTAGGGAAAAGACAACTATGTCCAAGATAGGTAAGAATCTGAATTCCAAACCACACTTGGCAGGTCCCTGACATTTTAGGAAAGATACTAAAATATCACAGGATTTATTTCTCCATCTTAAAAATAAGAATAATGGTGTCCACTTTGAGGGTTTGTGTGGTCCGTCACTTACTATATCCAACCCAAGATAGTGCCTGAGCAATCAGTGAGTAATAATAACTAAGGTTACAGAAGACCTGATACACGTCAGACATGAAGCCAAGTTAAATTTATTGACTTATTCACTAGTTCAACAAATATTTACCAAGCACATGCTCCAGGCTGGACTAGGCTCTAAGAATTCACTGATGAACAAAGTAGACATTGTCTGTGCCCTGTGTGCATCCAACAGATGGTTTAGTAGAGAAGAAACACATTTTACAGGTAATTGTGCCAATACAAAGCTTGCTGACCCTTGTATAAGCTCTCTAAAAGAGGTGTAGAGTGGAAATCACCTGATGGTCAAGGGAGTTGAGAAGTGACATTTCAGATAAGCCTTTGAGAAGACAGGATATTGAGCAGAGGAGGCAGGAAGGAGGCTGTCCCAGCACCTAGGTTTCTGGAAAAGGAAAAGGAGCTCCATGCATAGGAAGAATAAAAAGAAGACAGCGTGGCTAGAACATGGTGAGCAAATGGAAGGCACCAGATGGAAGGTGGGAAAATACAGCCACACCTGCATAATGACACTCTAGGTGATGATGATCACATACAACCAGAGTTGGCAATCTATGTGGTGTAAGAAGGGGATACAGTGACCAACAATTCAGGCTGAGCATCCCTAATCCAAAAATCCCAAATTGTAAATGTTCCATAGGTTTGGATGTCCAAGTGGAAAATTCCATACCATGAGACTTCTGTGTGCAAACTGTACAAATTACTTTCAGGCTACGTGTATCGAGTATATATGAAGCATAAGTGGATTCCATGTTTAGACTGGGTCCTCTCCACAAATCTATCTCATGAGGTATATGTAAATATTCCAAAATCTGGAAAAAATAATCTGAAATCCAAAATACTTTTGATCCCTAGCATTTTGGAATCAGGGATACTCAACTTGTATTTTGTCTTATGAAACTTACCTGACTGTCATTCAACACATCTTACTGTTTTCCTAAATTAGGGAGTTCCTGCATTACAAAAATTCTACCAAATATATCTATCTATTGTGATCTCTAGGAGATTTAAAACGAACTTCAACTGTTAATTCAGTTGAAACCCCACCCCACTCCCAAAGTCACAGGGATGTCTCTCACTCCTCAAGTGTGTTTGGACAAATATGAGGTTGAGATTCTCTATTTTCAAATACACCTTTAGTTTTCAACTATCGACAAAAACTGAAACCAAGACTCTCATTTCATCTTGTATATGCATCTTTTGAAAAAAATCCGTGGACTCTGCATAATTTAAAAATAAATTTGTTTATCGACGGCTATTTCATAAAATATCTTCGCACTGTACTTCAATTCTTTTATTTGTGAGAATTTAGCTCAATCTTTCCATAAAGAAGTATAGATTTAATGACTGGTTCCTGGTTAAAAATATATCATGTTCTGGATTGTGAATGACTCTAATGAGCTTTGTGACTGTCATCATTTCATCAATTATTTTTGTAAACCTTAAGAGTGCTTTAAAAACTATAGAATTGTAGAGTGGTATGCACCTGCAGAGCTATTTGGAATTGTTAATGTATAACTACAACTAGATTTGAGATTGTAGAAGAGGAAATCATCACACCTCTGCACCTCTGTGGTTCAAAAGTTAGGTGGTGATTTCAAGCATTCAGTGAGGGGAATAGTTGCAGGGTATGGAAATCTCATGTGCTAGGTGCACCCTACCGCAGAATGCTCATTTTAAATCAGAGCAGAAAGGCGTTGGCACAGGGATGCTGTCCCTTGGATGCATTACGTGGGGCCTTCTAATGGCACCAGATTGCTCACAGTAGCCTAAGATGAAAGCAGATTGCTGCTTCTTTCATCTGACCAGCTTTCTGTCCTTGATCAAAAATTACCTTCTCTGCCCATCATGTCGTCAGTGGTTAAAACTTACCATTTAAATTGTAAGCTGCAAAAAATCTAAATGGAACTGCATGTGTGATCTCTGTCACCTCATTTTCATGAATGGAAAAGAATATTCTGACACAAAAATTACATACTTAATTCTAGCTCACCCTCTCTGCTGACCTCCATCCCACACTGCCTTGGGTTTATTTCCTCATCCATCAGTGGGTCAAAGTAATTTCTGCCGTATTCATTTCCTGTGGAAAGTACATGAGGTAAGGGTCAGTGATTATTAGAAGCACATGAACCAAAATGTTAATTTTGAAATCGACACCAGCACAGAAGGACCATTTTAGCAACTTTACAAGCTTAATTTTTTTTTACAAGTTTTCCAAGCTTCTCTTTTTTTATATAATTATCATCTTGCAAAAGGTCAGAAAAGGTAATTCAAGAAACAAGTTCACGCTATCTTTCCGTTGCTAAAAAGTTAATGAGAAAATGACCAAATGCAGACTTTAGAATAATAATAATAATAATAAACTTCAGCTAAATTATTTTTAGGATATACTCAAGAAGTGGATATTTGGAAGATTATAATGTTGTGTAGAGTCCACTCATGATTCTGTTTACGGACTGGTATTTCACATGTTGTGTGGCCAGGATTCTGTAGCCATCTTACTAGGGTGTTCATTGTTAGAACCAGTAACAAAATTTCCATGTTGATGGAAAAAGAGAGAATAAATAAAATGGAGGAAAGGAAGGAAGGAAGGAAGGGAGGGTGGGTGAGTGGGTAGAGGAGGGAGAAAAGGAAAGAGGGAGGCAAAGAAAAATAAAAAAGAGAGGCCTGCTTCAGGTCTCGTTAATGTCAACTTAAGGAACATGAAGGGGAGGTACAAATGATTTAGTCAGGAGTTACACTCACCACACATCAGCAATCTCAACACCATCACCACCCCAAATTTCTCACTTCACATTTCCATTCACTCCGTCCTGATCTCAATAGCCAAACCGTAGCATCAGGTTTGACTTTGTCATAGAGAAAAAAGGTCTGCTATCAATTTTCTGAATCTACTTTCATTCTTCCTGCAGACTGAAATGTATATGTCTGTTGCTACTAATTTGCATTCCGCGAAATGTAATCCACTCTGACAATAATTCAAGTGGCCTTCAACACTGCAAAATAAAGCCCCGTAGAAAGAAAACAGCAAACTTTGACAACGTGGTTCACAGTGAAAGGTGAATACGTACCAGGTACAGGGTGGTGTACCAAGTATATTTATTTTAGGATCAAATTAAACTAAACAGCAGCTCCTTTTCCAAGGTCAAGGGAAAATTTGACATGAGCCTAACTTTAATTTCTACTTCAGGACTGGCACATTTTTGCCGTGAATCTCTGTTCTATCAATACAGTATTATGGGAACTGAAAATCTGCTTTACTTTGACTTTTCAGTAAAGAAAAAAAAAAATAAATGAGTTTCACTTTTGTTCCTTTATCTGTCAACAACTATTAGGCTGGTGTGAATCTTGGTGGTATGTAATCTGAGCCATTCTACCTCATTTGCTGTAAATGTGTGTGTGTGTGTGTGTGTGTGTGTGTTTTCTTCTGTCACAGAGCACTGTGATGCTCTAAATCTACTCTTCCATATGCTGGGAAAATAATTCACCTCTAATAAAGCAGAGATGGGGGTGCAGCCTTTATTATATTGGCATCTCAGTCTCAGTCATCTGCTGGTATCCGTATGCTGGAAGTTCCCCAATTCAAAACAAAGCTCAAATTCTTTGCCCACTAACATACTGACTGGTTAATAATACCAAGATAACCAAGACTCTGGAAAGTGAGATAAAGTTAAGTCATTCTCTTTTTTAAATTTCTTTTTTAGATGTTGATGGACCTTTGTTTTATTCACCTATTTATAGGTGGTGCTGAGAATTGAACCCAGTGCCTCACACAGGCTAGGCAAGTGCTCTACCACTGAGCCACAACCCAGCCCAAGTTAAGTCATTCTTAACTAAAAGTTTCAAAAATTGTATAGTCAGTTCTCTGTATTTATAGATTCTATACCTATGGACTCAACCAACTACCAACCAAAAACCACAGGCCTAATGTTTTCTCTGATAAGCAGATGCTGATCCATAATTAGGGTTGGGGGGATAGGAAAGAATGAAGGAACTTTGGATTGTGCAAAGGGGAGGGGAGGGAAAGGGCAGTGGAATGAGACAGATATTATTACTCTATATACATGTATGATTACACCACCAGTGTGACTCTGCACCATGTACATACAGCCAGAGGAAGAAGTTGTGTTCTATTCATGCACAATGTGTCAAAATGCATTCTGTTGTCATGTATAACGAATTGGAACAAATTTAAAAATTTAAAACAAATTGGTTTTTTTAAAAATATTCAGAACAAAATCTTGCATCTGGGCTGAACATGTATAAGTGTTCCTTTTCTTGTCATTATTGCCTGAATAATACATCAATTTACATAGCACTTATTTGTATTCGGTATTTAAAAAAAAAAAAATCTAGTGATGATTGAAAGTATACGGGAGGCTGTGTATAGGTTCCACAGAAGTACTACACATTTTACCTGAAGGATCTGAGCATCCATGGATCTTGGTATGTGGGAAAAGTTTCTGGAACCAATCCCCCTTGGATACTGAGGGATGACTGTACTTGGTTTTTAGGCTCTCAAATCCTTTTCATCCTTCTTTTCAGCTGAGACATTGGGATCTTGCCCAGATGTACTTGAAGGAGATCTGTGCACTGGGAGCTGTCCAAACTGCTAAGTCTCTCTTTGGGGTTCTATGCTTGCACACACAACTGGGAGAGGAAAATCCTTAAGGTCTACACAAGTTGCACCTTCTGCATTCTGTGAGGGTTGATGAACACACACGTGTAAGTCATAAATGTCCCTCATGGAGCGATTCAATTTGTATTTCCCGTTCTGGGATAATGCATCGAGCATTTTACAAGGAAAGAATTCAGAGCTTTTTTTGAACAGTTCTTGATACTCCTTTTTTGAACAGTTTTTGATACTCCTTTAAACATCTCCAAGTTCTATGTTATAGTATATACATATAGAATTCCTATGTTTTATAATGTACATATATTTTCTTTTTTTGGGGGGGTGTCAACATACTTTATATATAAACAGATATAAAAAATTGTGGTACATATGTGTAATAAGATTTGTAATGCAAAAAAAAAATAAAGTACATGTATAAAGGCATGAATTTGCATGAACACAGTCTATTTACAAAGATATGAAAAATTGTACTCTATATATGTAATAAGAACTGCAATGCATCTGCTGTCATGTATTTAAAAAAACATAAAACTGATAAAACAACAACAAAAAAACAAAAAAGCCCCATATTTTCCTTGTTAAGAATTACCATTGTTTAGGGAAACATCTTTTTATTTAAAGAAAATTTAATTTTGCTGAAATTCACATACTATAAAATCAACTATTTAAAAATGAACATTTCTATGGCATTAACCATATTAATAATGCAGTCAAACCAACTGCTAGCTAGTTGGAAATAATTTTCATCAGCTCAAAGAAAACCCCACGGTTAGTAAGCGATACTCTCTATTCCTTTCTTCTAGGCTCTGGCAAATACCAGTCTGCTTCCTATCTCTCATATATTTTCTTTTACATTTTACAGGCATATCTTTGGTGTGCACGTTGTATCGTACTTGCTCACTGTCTGTTAAAATATAAGCTCTGTGAGGATAACAACATCATTTCCTGCTCACCGTGCCACCCTCCCAGTCTCTCACAGAGCCTGGAGTGCAGACGTGAATTCGTTGATTTAATAGAGCTGGCTCTGGAACCTATGCAATACCCAAATCCTTTCACTGGCTAGATGTGCTCTTTCTTGATTAAAATGAGAAGCAAGATACACCCTTTGATCACCTTTGATTCCTCTTCTTTCTATTCTGCCTCCCTTCTCTTCTTAGGACCTTCTTCCTCCACTTCTCTTTACTCTGTCCTGATTTAAAAAACAAAAAGAGAAAAACACCCTGACCCCCACCTGCAGAGCACAGCCTGCTGAAAGAACAAGACGGCTACACCTGCACACTCCAGTATGACTTTATATTGTGGTAAAGACAGAGTTCTTTGGGAGCATCTATCCATGGACCAAAACAATACAGAACAACAACAACAAAAAAAAAAAAAAAAAAAACTTGCATCTTTTCTGAACATGAACCAACCTTTCTTTTTTTTCCTAATTATTATTCCTAAAATAATATATTACAACAATTACAGCATTTAACTATAGCATATAGGGGCTTCAAAGAAGTCTTTTAGATTCTATCTGAAGTCAGATAGTATGTGTAATGAGGAACTGGCCAAGTCAAACATCCAGAGGAGGATTGGCCAGGGAAAGGCACAGAGGCACATGGGGGTGGGAAGCACATTTTGTTAGCGATATCCCTCAATATTTCTCAGCCTCCTAAGTTTATAGTTTAGTAAAGTAAAGGGATCCAAATTCTTTACCAGTCCCAGAATCAAGCTTCACTAAAGCTTTTGTTCAAATTATTAGTACATCCCTGTTGAGTGTTAGCTTGTGCAGACCTGATGAATTGTACCCATCCATTCATCCTTTCAATTCATTCTTCTATTTTTTGAGTGCTTATTATGTGACTAAGTCAGTAAAATGAAATACTCAAAAAACCCTTCCTTTACAGAGTTTTATGAGTAGGAGAGTAAATACAATATAAGTGCGTGTTTTATAGTTTTTTTCAATAGAGTCAGACATGAACCATCAGGCCCCCAGGAAGGTGTGGGGTACATGTGCCTTCAAATACAGGGGGTGCCACTTAGGATTAAATCACCACACTCTCAAGCCACATGTGAGTTGATAAAGCATACTGTATATTTTACTATTCGTTATTTTTGTAACTTACTATTTTGCCAATTGCTTGCTATGATAAAATCAGTCTGAAAAACAGATAAGAACAAAAATTGAATGATTTAATTTTTTTAATTTAAAATTTAAACGATTATTCCTTTCCATGAGTATATCTTTCCCTAAGAAGCCAAAAATTTTACACGGCAGGCAATTTGAGGATACAAACCCCACAGAGTCTGTTATAAATTTGGAAGCCCAGAGTCTCTGTCTGAACACCATCTCCCTGTCCTCATATTTCACTGGGTAGTATCAGGATTTAATAAGGCAGGACGGTTTTAGGAAAGGGTGCCTATATATTACCAGAAGCTTGATGCTAATAGGATAAATCCTA